TAAAACTAAAAAAAAAAAAAGACCGTACCCTTTCATGTAATGATGTTTACTTTGAATTTATATTAGTTCACACAAACACTCCATCCATGCTTTTGTTCCGGCCCTCCGGTCCAGTTTAAGAACCCACTGTGGCCCTGAGTCAAAAAGTTTGCCCACCCCTGTGACCCAGGTAAAGGGCAGGGATGTACAAAGGTAGCAGGGTGTCTGTGGGGCAGATGTCCTCTGGGTGACCATCTCTAGAGCCCCTCCCTTCCTTTTAGCCCATAATTCTTCTGGGAACGGGACCCTGAGCTGACAGCTCAGCAGACAGGCTCAGGGGCTCCTTACCTGAGACCAGGAGCTCCAGGGGCTCGCTGGGGAGTGACAGCAGGAAGGGGGAGGTGCTGTGTGAGCTGTAGCACCTGTAGGTGCCCCCGTGGGCTGAGGTCACAGGACTCATGGAGAACTCTGCCTGGTACTGCTGAGCTCGGTGCTCTGATCTCTGACACAGGGGGGGATCGGCTGCCCCCTCCTTGGACAGAAGGAAAGTGTCCCTCGGGCTCTGTGACTGACACAGCAGGGTCACCTTTCCTTCAGATGCCACCCTGAGGCCTATGTGCACCACCACTGATAGAGATGGTCTGTCAGGCAGGTGTCCTAGAGAGAGGGAGGGTGAGGGCTGCCTGCCCACCATGTTCTCCCCTGAGAGTCACCAGGCCTCTCTCTGAGGACCCGTCTCTCCATCTGTCTCTGTTTCTCTGAGTCTCCCCTCTCTCCACCCAACTCCTGCCTCCCTGACTCTCTTCCTCCCTGAGGTCCTTCACTTTCATTCTGGCCTCACCACCTGAGACCCCCAGCAGGGCCTGTGCAGAGTCTGGGTCCCTATCTGAACCCACTGGCTCCTCACCTGCCACCAGGATGTCCAGGGGGTCGCTGGGGGCCGACCACTCAGAGGAGAGGTTGTATCCACCGTAGCATCTGTACCGGCCTCCAGGCGAGCTGCTCACAGTGTCCAGGGGGAAGTGGGTCTGAGAGAGCCCAGCCTGGGGCTGCAGGACAAGGCTCTCTCGGAGGTCCCGTGCCCCCTCCTTGTGCAGAGCGAATCTGTCATAGCCGACATCAGAGCTACACTGGAGGGTCAGGTTCTGTCCAGAAGCCACGATGGGGCCCTGCTGGCTCAGGAGGGAGGGCTTCCCAGACTCACCTGGGGAGACCAGACGTGAATTATAGGGGTTACTCCTCCCATAAACGCCTTCTACTGGACTGGCCCCCGGGTCTCATTGTCTCTCTCTGTGTCTCTGATCCATGGACCCCTGTACTCCCTCACCCCATCCTCTCTCATAGGGCTCCCTTCACAGCAAAGATGCCAATAATGTGTCTGGTGCCTCAATCCATGATGAGACAATAGTGGGACTCACCTGGGACCAGGAGCTCCAGGAGGTCACTGGGGTGTGACCACACATGGGGCCTGTCCCTGTAATAGCCATAGCATCTGAACATCCACCTGTGGCTGCTGGTCACAGGGCCCACAGGGAACAGGGTCTGGAACTGCCCACTGGGCTGTGGCTGTGAGTCCAGAGTCCAGGAGTGCTTGTGATCTCCTTCCTTAGTCAGAAGGAACCTGTTAAATCCCTGCCGTGAGCCACACTGGAGGGCCACGTTCCCTCCTGAGGGCACGACAGGGCTGGGCAGGGCCGAGAGGCTGGGTTTGCTGTAGGATCCTAGGAGAGGAGGAGGCAGCGTGTTAAATGGGGCTCACACCTTCCTCATGTCCCCAGAGCTGGGCTGTGAGAGGGAGACATCCTGAGAGCAGACCCCCCCTCCTGAGGGCAGAGCCTGAGGCTGGGACCCCTGAGTGTGCTCTCACCTGTCACCACCAGCTCCAGGGGGTCACTGTTCCTTGACCAGCCTGTGAATCTGATATAGTAACAGTAGTATCTCCCTGCATCATGCTCTGTCATGCGTGTGATGGAGAGCTTGACCTTGTCTCTGGGATTCCACTGAGTCTGTGTTTTCCAAAGCACTCGTTTTTGTTGTCTATACATACAGAACTCCTGGGCTTCCAGGGTCCCCTGACACCAGAGGGTCACAGGGCTCCCATAAGGGACCACAGGGCCTGGCTCAGCCCACATGGTGGCTTTGGAGAGGGTCCCTGGAGGGAAAGCAGAGGGTACATTACACAGACATTCCAAACTCCCCATCTCCCAGCTCAGCCCAAGACCCTCTTGGCTTATCACCTCATCCCAGGACCTCATCCCAGGACCTCTGTGCCCAGGGGTGAAGTGACAGGTGGGACATGAAGCCTGGGGAGGACTCACCTGCCTGCACTTGGATGATCTGGCCCAGACTCAGCCCTGGAAGAGAGTGTCGGTGAGAGATTTGTACCCGGATGTCTGAGCTGATTCCCTTCCCATCAGGGCCCTGTCCACTCTAGCTGCCTGAGGCTAAGGTTTCCCATGAACAAGAGGATGCATCTGCCCCTCCTGCTTCCCCTCCCCGTGTCCACAACTGACCGAAGCAGAGAAGAACAGAGAAGATGGACATCATGGTGTCTGCTCTGAGGCTCCTGCTCTACAGATGGAGGAGGCCTGGGCCTGAAGGACAGAGATGCACAGGATGTGGTGGGTCAGGAGTTGCTGCTACCCTTCCGGGCCCTCAGAGCTGTGAACCCACAGCAAGCAGACCTCCCTCCCTCCCCACGCGCCTAGGTCATAATTTTTCCATGATGAGGCGTCTGGAGACTCTCAACCCCAGATCTGGGGTCTCTTCTGACTCCCAGGACCCTCTGCCTGGTCTGACCTCCTACTCAGAGAGGACAGGACCCAGGTTCTCATCCTGAATCCACCCTCAACAGGCTAGCTCTACCTGCAGCTCATTACCTGGGTCTTCAGCCCCCCGCAAAGGGAATTCTCTTTCTGCCTTTGACTTATCCATAAACAAGTGTTTACTGCTCACCTACCACCTGCTGAGTACTTGTACCAAGAACAGAAATATATCCATGATCCAGGTGACCCGTTTCCTGTATTTCGAGAACTCTGATTAGTAGGCTAGGGCATTCTAAGGCTAATGTTGTAATTCATTGTTTACAAAGGAGAAATTTAAAAAGTATGAGAACTGGACTAGACCATGTCTAGACTGTGTTTGAAGGAACTGCTGTTTGAGTAAGTGAAATGTGTTCATTTTAGAGAGGAAAGAACATTTTAGAGCCCCTGGACACATACAGACTATCTGAAAGGGAGGAAGAGAGAAGGAGGTGGTAGCTGGTCATGGGTGTGGTGATCACCACACAAGGGCATGGTGTGATATCTTTAACACAAAAGGAATATATACTGGTAAGAAGCAAACTGTTTGGTCAGATCGTCTTATAAAATCCTATGTGCCACTTATTACAAATAAACTAGAAAAGTGCAATATTTCTAAATAAAATATCAACAGTTATCTATACTAATAAAAGGGTAATATGCTAATTAGACTGGACATCTTCCAGACATCCTTCCGGACATCCTTCTGGACAAAGCCACCGTGGCGGGGGCTGAGGCAGAGGCCAGCAAGGGAAAGCAGTTAGGGGCGACCAGGCCGGCAGGGGAGAGCAGACAGGCAGGTGAGCAGTTAGGAGCCAGTGGTCCTGGATTGTGAGAGGGATGTTTGACTGCCGGCTGATTGCCTAAACCAGCAGTCGGACATCCCCTGAGGGGGTCCCTGATTGAAGAGGGTGCAGGCTGGGCTGAGGGACTCCCTCCCCCTCCCGTGCATAAATTTCATGCACTGGGCCTCTAGTTAAATTATAATATTGTGTGTAAAGCAATGTTCCATAAATGGCTTATATGGACTTGTGTGTGTGTTCATTGGGTAATTGTACTTGTCTGATTGGGTGGAAACAGAGGTGAGAGCTGAGGTTGGAGGGTCTCATCTGGATGATCATGAACACCCTTCAGTTTAGAAAGAAGAGTCTGGATTTAGCCTCAATTCAGGGAGGCTCATGGGAGGATTTTGAGCAGGAAATGGACAGATTCTGAAATGAGGTTAGATTCCTATGTGGAGGGTGAACTGGAGAAGGGAGCTAAGAGTTCAGGAAGGTGGTGGACATGATGGCTGCCTTGGGGGGTGTGAAGGAGACCTCCCTCCCTGCCTTGTTGACTTGGGGACACCAAGGGGCCCTCAGGACAGTGAGCCCAGGGGTGGGAGAAGGAGGAGCTCGGGGGCTGTGCCTGATGCATCTGCTCCCACAGGGCAGCTCAGTGCCTCCTCCTGGACCTGGGACACAGGTCCTATGTCTCACACAGGTTCCACCTGACTTTCTGTCTGTGAGCAGCGGGATCTCTCCATCTCTTGGGGGTCAATCATTTGAGTCATTTCTGCCTCTTCAGAGCACCTTTGAGGCCGGGTTTCACTCTACTCTTCAAGCTGTGGAGACTCTTCAGGATTCAGAAAAAAATGACATTCATCACACACACACACACACACACACACACACATCACACACACACACACACACACACACACACACACACACACACACACACACAGTTGTGTTATATCAGTTGTGGCACTATCACATCCCGAATAGTTGAAAGACACTTAAGCAGGCCATTTCCTCCCTTGACCTCATAGCAATACAAATGTGGTGAGAATTCTTCTCAACTGAGATATGGAGGAAACGAAACCAGCCATACAATGCAGATGAAGATGGTGGAGGTTTGAGAAATTGAAAAGCGGAGATGCCTCGTCCAAAGGAGCAGAAGGAAGACTCCAGGTCAGTCAGACCTGCAGACAGATGGGACTCTGAGGATCAGGTGAGACCTCAGATACTGCTGAGCTTCCTCCTGAGAGCCTATAGTCCCCCTGAGCTCTCATCCGGGGAGATGCAGAGCTAGGCCCAGGGCGGAACCATCTCCTGACTGTGGGTCTGCAGCTGTGAAAACCCAGAAGGGCAGCAGCAGCCCCTGACTCACCACATCCTGTGTGTCTCGGTCCTTCCGGCCCAGGCCTCCTCCATCTGCAGAGCAGGAGCCCTCAGAGCCATGACGTCCATCCTCTCTGCTCTTCTCTGCCTCGGTCACTTGTGGAGTCCGGCAGCAGGAGGGGATGGGCAGGAAATTCCCCCTTGTTCTTGTGGAACCTCAAGCTCAGGCAGCTGGAGTGGACAGGGCCCTGATTGGAAGAAAATCAGCTCAGACGTCCGGGTGGAAACCTCTGACAGGAACTCTCTCCCAGGGCTGAGTCTGGACCAAGGGACCCGTGTGCAGGCAGGTGAGTCCTCCCCAGCTCCATGTCCCTCCTCTTATGTCATCCCCTGGGGCTCAGGAGGGAGCACAGAGGTGCTGGGATGAGGTGATACAACGAGAGTATTTAGGGCTGTTCTGGGAGATGAGGGAGGGAAGGTCTTTGTAATGCAGCCTCTGGTTTCCTTTCAGAGACCCTCTCCAAACCCACCCTCTGGGCTGAGCCAGCCTCTGTGATCCCGTATGGGAGCCCTGTGACCCTCGTGTGTCAGGGGACCCTGGATGCCAAAAAGTTCTATCTGTATAAGGAAAGAAAACGTTTGCTTTGGAACACGCAGACCCGATGGGAGCCCATGAACAGGGCCAAGTTGTCCATCAACCAGATGAACCAGGACTTTGCAGGGATATATTACTGTTACTATCACAGCCCCACAGGCTGGTCAGAGCCCAGCGACTTCCTGGAGCTGGTGGTGACAGGTGAGAGGCCCTCAGTGGTCCCAGCCTCAAGCTCTGCCCTCAGGAAGGGGGTCTGCTCTCAGGGTGTCTCCCTCTCACAGCCCAGCCCTGAGGGACATGAGGGAGGAGTGAGCCTATTTAACACACTGCCTCCTCTCCTTCTAGGATCCTACAGCAAACCCAGCCTCTCAGCCCTGCCCAGCCCTGTCATGACCTCAGGAGGGAACGTGACCCTCCAGTGTGGTTCAGGCCAAGGATTTGATGGATTCATTCTGACTAAGGAAGGAGAACACCAGTTTGCCTGGTCCCTGGACTCACAGCCACACCCCAGTGGGCAGTTCCAGGCCCTGTTTCCTCTGGGCCCACTGACCTCCATTCAGAGGTGGACGTTCAGATGCTATGGCTGTTACAACAAGGTGCCCCAGGTGTGGTCACACCCCAGTGAGTCCCTGGAGCTCCTGGTCTCAGGTGAGAAATTACCATCCCTACCACATCCATGTTTTGAGAGACCAGACAGGTTATTGGTATCTTTGCTCAGAGGGGAGCCCCCTGTGAGAGGGTTGGGTATGGCAAGATTCGGGGCTTCTTCATCAGAGACACTGAGTGTGAGAGACACAGTGACACCTATGGGCCAGGACAGTAGAAGGGAGTCTGTGTGAGGAGCAGTCCCTGTAATTCACATCTGGTCTTCCCATATGTCTCTGGGAAGCCCTCCCTCCTGACCCAGCAGAGCCCCATTGTGGCCTCTGGCCAAAGCCTGACCCTCTAGTTTCATTCTGATGTTGGCTATGACAGATTCGCTCTGCACAAGGAGGGGGGAAGGGACCTCCCCTAGAGGGTTGTCCTGCAGCCCCAGGCTGGGCTCGCTCAGGCCCACTTCCCCCTGGACACTGTGAGCAGCTCCCATGGGGGGCCGGTACAGATGCTACAGTGGATCCAACTTCTCTTTTAAGTGGTCGGCCCTCAGTGACCCTCTGGACATCTGAGCCAAGATAACAATAACTTGTATGGTTGTTGAGGATCTAGTGGCTTTATTAAGACACCCAGACTCTGCACAGGCTGGGTTGGGGGTGGGTCTCAGGTGGTGATAGCCAGGACAAGGGGTGTGGGCTCTCCAGGGAAGGAGACAGCATGAGCCATGGAATGGGAGCAAGAGGGATAGACTCAGGGAAAACAGAGACAGACAGAGAGGAGGGCCCTCAGAGAGAGGCCCGGTGACTCTCAGGTCAGAACAACGTGGGCAGGCAGCCCTCACTCTTCCTCCCTCTCTCTAGGACACCTGCCTGACAGACCCTCCTTGTCAATGCACCCAGGCACCTTAGGAGAGAACGTGGCCCTTCTGTCAGTCATAGAGATTGAGGGACACTTTCCTTCTGTCCAAAAATGGGGCAGCCAATCCCCTGCTTTTAGATCCAAGTTTTGAGCTCACCAGTACCAGGCAGAGTTCTCCCTAATCCCTGTGACCTTAGCCCATGGGGGGACCTACAGGTGCCACAGCTCACACAGCACCTCCCCCTACCTGCTGTCACTCCCCAGTGAGCCCCCTGGAACTCCTGGTCTCAGGTGAGGGATTCTTGATCCACTTCTTTCCTTTCTTTTTTTAAAAAATATTTTTATTGATTTCAGAAAGGAAGGAAGAAGGAGAGAGATAGAAAAATCCATGATGAGAGAGAATCATGGATCGGTCGCCTTCTGCAAGTCCGCCACTGGGGATTGAGCCCACAACCCGGGCATGTGCCCTTGACAGGAATTGAACCTGGGACCTTTCGGTTCGCAGGCCAACACTCTATTCACTGAGCCAAACCAGCTAGGGCTTGACCCACTCCTTTCGATGCTCAGTCAGCTCAGGGCCCTGTAATGAGACCCTGGGGGCTCCACCAAACAATAGGTTCCAGACCCCCTAACTCTAATGCTCATCCACAGACTCCTGCTCCCCAGGCTTTGAATAAGGGGGATCTCTTAGCCATAAAGAAATAGTATGATGGGGTTTTATATTTCAGACAAAACACTGAACAATACAACTTAATTTCTGTATTGAAACCACTTTTCTTATTAATACTGAGCTATGGTGGGCAGCCAAATTCTGCTGCAAAGAGACTCCGTGCAGGTTCCAAATTCAGAGATCAAGGCAGGCTAATAATAATCCAATGAGGAGACCAGGGAACCCGGCAGTGTAGAGAAAGAGCTCATTAAGGGACTGTGTAAAACTTATGATCTGAAAATTGGGGCCTCTGAGAGCACAGAACCTTGAAGGAAGGTTCGTGTCTCCCCAAGTCCTCACACTCTCATTTCATAATTCTCGGAGCAGCTGACACCACTGGCCCATCACAAAATAGGTCAAACCCCAAATCACTGAGTGGGAGAAGCTCTCACTTATAGGGCTTGGGGGGGCACGATAGAGGGTCATGTCCTGTCAAGGAGAGGTGGGTGTCCTGTGTGGACAGCCAGGGTCCTGGGATTTCTCTGGTCTGCTCTGACGTCTGTGAACACTTTGTCCACAATTCCTACTTCCCTCCCCAAAGACTACACAGTGGAGAATCTCATCCGGATGGGCGTGGCTGGCCTGATCCTCGTGGTCCTTGGGGTGCTGCTATTTCAGGCTCGAAATGACACCAGAAGGACCCATGGTGCAGCCAAGATGTGAACACAGAGGGGACATGCACCGTTCAGAGTGGGGGAGACTTGGAGCCCATCTGATGAGCCCAGGAGGTGCTGAAAGAGAATATGGACCATAATTGGAGAAACTGTCTGCTGAGAAAGTCCAGGGGAGAAGACATGGTAGGTGAGGTTTAGGTGCAGGAGAACGTAGGCCATGTCCCTGTAAAGAACGCCCCCTCTATCCACCTGGGGTGCTCTCCCTGCCTCCTGTCCTTGCTCACTCTCCTCCAGTGCCCTTCTGTTCTCACCCTGTGACATGAGGGTCCATCCCACATGACTGGTTCGGATTCACATCTATACACCCTTTCATGCGGGGCCACATCCATCCCAACAAAATGAGGTATCTTCACAACCTTGGGATTTTTTAAACCATAAAGAACAAAGGACGGGTACCTGGTACATTGTGGGCAAACATCAAAATAATGCAGCTCAGTGACAGAAAGCGGACACATAAGATCAGGGGTTGTGTGATTCCATTTATGCAAAATGTTCAGGAGAAGGAAACCCATAGAAACAGAAATCAGATTGGTTTGTCTGGGGTTGACCAGGAGGACAGACGGGAGATGGACTGTTGGGTGTTTTTTATGGGGGTTGGCTATAAATACTTCTTGAAACTAGATAGATGTTGTCATTGAGACATTGTGTATTTATTACATTCTAGTGAATTTTATATTTTAAAAGACTTAATTGCATGTTATGTGAATGTTGCATCAATACAAATAAATGCAAGTGAAACACACGTGGTTCCCTTCAGCTCCCTTATACCTTGAAGGTTGCACCACTGGTGTCTGTGGAACTTTATTGGAACCAGGACTCCCACCAGGTCAGAGGTGCCCTAAGTGCTTTAGTGCTTAGAGACCAACCCACTCATGAAATTTCCACCTTCACTCCTGACTTGGGCTGAGGCTAGGATCCCTGCCGAGACCCACCATCCTGCATCCTTTTGTCTGCACTCATCTGCCATTCAACCAAGGATGCACTGCAGCTTCTGATTTACCTTGTAGGCTTGGGGGACACACTTGCGGCTTCTAAATAGCCCTTCCCACCACATGTCTCTCATACACATGCCTTGATCAGGTCAGAAAATGACACCAGATTTCTGGCCAACATGGCTCAGTGGTTGAGAGTCGAACTATGAACCAGAAGGTCATGGTTTGATTCCCGGTCAGGGCACATGCCTGGAATGTGGGCTCCATCCCCAGAGTGGGGCTGGCAGGAGGCACCTGATCAATGATTTTCTCTCATCATTGATGTTTCTATCTCTCCCTCTCCCTTCCTCTCTGAAATCAATATAATATATATTTATAAAAAAAGAAAGAAAATGACACCAGATTGAGGCCCTTCATGTCTCTGGCACTGCCGATCCTCATAACAAACTCAGAGGTGGGGTTTCACAATGTTGCCCAACAAGCAAAGAAGGAGAGGAGAAGAGACTGGCTCAAAATAGAAGTTCAATAAATGTGTCCCCAGGTCTTGAGATTACAACCTGGCAATGGTCTCCAACATGCTCTTCTACCCAAACCATAGAGATGGAATAAACAGAATTAGACAAAGAGGTACTGTCTGGGGGACAAGAGGTGGTGAGGAGGCAGAAAGAACTCTGAAGGTTAGATGGAGAGGCATGGAGAGCAGGGGCTCTGCTCACAGTGACAAGAAAGTCAGAGAGAGGAAGTGATAGGGAGAAACAGCAGCACACAGCCAGGCCCAAGGGTGGTGCTGGTTGCCTCTGTGGGTGAGTTGATAGTGTTGTAACATCCCCCAGGCCTCCTGCTTCTCTTGGGGTCAGCAACCTTGGCACAGCCCCATTGGCTCCTGCAGGCAGCCAAGGCGGAGAGAGGATGAACCCTCCATTCTCTCCTCTCTCCCCTCACACACTGAACCAATCCTACTGTTCTGGCTCCGGGTTCTCCTTTCTGTGACCCAGTTCTCCCCACAGACAAGCTCAGGTGAAGACCCAGGACAGCTCGTTGGTGTGACCCCGTCACCCTCCTTCTGGCCTCCTCCAGACCCTCACTGTTGGCTCAGGTGTTTAATTCTCATGCCCCCAAACGTCCCTGTCACTGAACATCCCTTGCACAAAGCCTGTCCACAGGTCCCCCTTGACTCCAGCCACATCCAGGGATCTCCACCCGGCAGTCCATGCTGCTGACGATCAGGTTGAGCTACACTCTCCAGCCCGAGTGAGGCCAATGCCTCCTCCAACCAAACTCATTCCATGAACCTTCTCCCCTCCCCCAACACACAACCTGGGTTAGGACCACCTCGTGCCCCCTCACGGGCCCGGTGAGCCCATCAAAACAGAGATGCGTCCTCTCCAAACCTCCTAGACTAAAACAACATACACTTATTTCCAAAATGTATTCCCTGCATTTTGAAAATAAAGCAACAGACTTTGCAATAATCAATGTGTGAATCAAAACAGAAGCGAATGTTTTAGATTAAATGATAATGTAACTATTACACATCAAACCTATGAAATAAAAAACCATGTGTGCTTGTGTGTGTGTGTGAGCGTATGTGTGAGTGTGTGTATGAATGTGCATGTGTGTATGAGTGTGTGGATACGTGTGTGTTCATGGGCCACTGTGCCCATCTGTCTGAGGAAAGCAGAGATGAGAGCTGAGGTGGGAGGGTCACATCTGGATGATCATGATCAGCCTTGAGTCCAGAAGGAAGAGTGTGGATTCACCTTGAAGACAGTGAGGACCATGGAAGGTTTTACGCAAGGCAGATGTGGAGGGTGAACTGGAGAAGGGAGTGGAGCTCAGAGCCCAGGAAATTGGTGGACATGACAGCTGCCTTGGGGGGTGACCTCCCTCCCTGCCTTGTTGACTGAGGACACCAAGGGGCCCTCAGGACAGTGAGCCCAAGGGAGGGGGAGGGAGAAGCTTGGGGGCTGTGCAAGACGTACCTGCTCCCACAGGAAGCTCAATGCCTCCTCTTGGCCCTGGGACGCAGGTCCTATGTCTCACACAGGTTCCACCTGACTTTCTGTCTCTGTGAGCAGTGGGATCTCTCCATGTCCTGGGGGCCAATCATCTGAGTCATTTCTGCCCCTACAGAGCACCATTGATGCCGGGTGTCACTCTCTTTTTCAAACTGTGGAGACTCATCAGGACTCAGACAGGAGCAACATTCATGGGAGTCCTGTTCCAAGGCAGCAACACACACAGACACACATTAAATATCAATAGTGGCGCTACCACATCCTGAATGGTTGAAGGACACTTGAGCAGGCTACTTTTTCCCTTGATGTCTTAGCAATACCAATGCCTTCCCCACAAAGATGGTGAGAATTCTTCTCGACTGAGATATGGAGGAAATGAAACCAGCCATTCAATGCAGATGGAGACAGTGGAGGTTTGAGCAATTGGAAAGAAGAGACGCCTCATCCAAAGGAGAAGAAGGAAGACTCCAGGTCAGACCCCTCGTGTGGAGTCACCTGGACCCTTCAGTGGGGAGGTCATGGTCTTTCCATCCCATGGCGCTGGGCCAGTGGGTGAGTCTCTAGGACATGGTGAACATCTTACCTGCCTCACAGCATTTGCAATAAGCAATGCCAGATGGGAGACAGACCAAAACATGAAAAGTCAATCAATTACTATTTCTTTTTACCAAATTATCTTATTAACCTGTGAGAGAGATTTTTTTCTTCATGAGGACACAAGAACACAAATATAGGGGGAAATGGTTGCAGATTTGCTCCTCAACCCTCATGTTCGATGCAACCAATTGATGTCTCTCGGACACCAATGTTTCCCTCTCTTTCCTCTCTGTCTCTCGGTTTCACTCTCTTTACAAATCAATGGAAGAAAAATATCCTGGGGTGAGGATTAAAAAAGTTTTTTTAAAAAAGGTGCTGACCTTTTAAATCATTGAAGAAATAAATGTACATCAAACCACAGGGTGGTACCAATACCTACACTGAATAATGAAAATTAAAAAGGCAGGAAACATGAAGCATTGGCACGAATGTGAACCTACCAGGACCCTTGAATCAGGGAAAGTCGTGGAAATGCTGAGGCCACTGGGAATCTGCTCAGAAGATCTATACTGATAAAAGGGTAGCATGCTAATTAGACTGGAAGCCCCTCCAGACAAAACCTATTGGCAGGGGCTGAAGCAGAGGCAGTTAGGGGCGACCAGGCCAGCAGGGGCTGAAGCAGAGGCAGTTAGGGGTGACAAGGCCAGCAGGGGAGGGCAGTTAGGGGTGATTAGGCTGGCAGGCAGAGGTGGTTAGGGGTGATCAGGCAGGCAGTCAGGTGTGCAGTTAGGAGCCAGCAGTCCTGGACTGTGAGAGGGATGTCTGACTGCCGGTTTAGGTGGGATCAGGCCTAAACTAGCAGTAGGACATGCCTGGAAAAGTCCCAGATTGGAGATGGTGCAGGCCGGGCTAAGGGACCCCCCCTCCCCCCATGAGTGTATTTCAGGCACTGGGCCTCTAGTTCTTTCATAAATGAGCTCCCTCAAGAGCTGTGGTTGGGTGTCCCATTGGGCTGTTCAGAGACAGACTCCCAGGGGCCAAGTCAGAACCATATCCTGCATCTCGCCCTCTCTGAGCAGGAGTCAGACCAGCCGACACATGAGACCCTGAGGATCAGGTGAGACCTCAGACACTGCTGACCAGCCTCTGAAGCCTGGACTCCCTGTGAGCCTCATCCTGGGGAGATGCAGAACCAGGCCCAGGGTGGGGCCCTCCCATGGCTATGGATCCACAGCTGTGTAAACCCAGAAGGCGGCAGCAGCTCCTGACTCATCACATCCTGTGCGTCTCTGTCCTTCAGGTCCAGGCCTCCTCCATCTGCAGAGCAGGAGCCCTCAGAGCAGACGCCATGACGTCCATCCTCTCTGCTCTCCTCTGCCTTGGTCAGTTGTGGTCACAGGGAGTGGGAGTAGGAGGGGCGGCTGCCCATCCTACTCCCCCAGGCTCAGGCAGCTGCAGTGGACGGGGCCCTGATGGGAAGGGAATCAGCTGAGATGCCCGGGTGCAAATCTCTCACAGGGACTCTCTTCCAGGGCTGAGTCTGGACCAGAGGACCCGTGTGCAGGCAGGTGAGTCCTCACCAGGGTCCATGTCCTTCCACTTCCTTCACTCCTGGGGCTCAGGAGGGAGCACAGAGGTGCTGGGATGAGAGGATCTTGGACTGAGCGGGGGGGGGGTGAGGAGGAAGGTCTTTGTAAAGCAGCCTCTGGTTTCCTTTTAGGGACCCTCCCCAAACCCACCATCTGGGCTGAGCCAGGCCCTGTGATCCCCTGGGGGAGCCCTGTGACCATCTGGTGTCAGGGGACCCTGAAGGCTCAGGAGTACAGGCTGTATGCAGGTGGCAAGTACTTGAAGAGACAGAAGTCCCTGGAGCCTAGAGACAGGGCCAAGTTCCTCATTACAGGAAAGTATGCAGAGAGATATACCTGTAACTACCTCAGCCCCACTGGCAGGTCAGGGCCCAGTGACTCCCTGGAGCTGGTGGTGACAGGTGAGAAGACACTCAGGGGTCCCAGCCTCAGGCTCTGCCCTCAGGAAGGGGGTCTGCTCTCAGGGTGTTCCTCTCTCACAGCCCAGTCCTGGGGAACATAAGGGAGGTGTGAGCCCCATTTAACACGCTGCCTCCTCCTCCCCTAGGATTCTACAGCAAACCCATCCTCTCAGCCCTGCCCAGCCCTGTTGTGACCTCAGGAGGGAACATGACCCTCCAGTGTGGCTCAGGGCATGGATTTGACAGGTTCATTCTGACTAAGGAAGGAGATCACAGGCTCTCCTGGACACTGGACTCAGAGCGACAGCCCAGTGGGTGGTCCCAGGCCCTGTTCCCTGTGGGCCCTGTGACCCCCAGCCACAGGGGGACGTTCAGATGCTATGGCTATTTTGAGAGGCATCCCCAGGAGTGGTCTGACCCTAGTGACCCCCTTCATTTAACGGTCTCAGGTGAGGGGCCCCTGACCTCATCCTCTCTGAGCACAGGCAGCTCAGGGTCCCGCCCCCAGGAAACATCTGAGGTAGGAGGAGAGTGAGGGGTCAGAGTGTTGGTCACCCAGCAGAGATCTGCCCTCAGAGATGCTCTCACTTTTGTTGAATCCTCCCCATGAACTGGGTTGGGAAATTGTGGGCAGGGGGACTGTCTTTGGGGATCACAGAGCAGATGGAGAAGCGACCGAGTGATTTGGAGACTCTAGAGTGAGCCCCAGCCTCACCCCTCTCTATCCTCAATTCCAGGACCCTCTGGAGGCCCCAGCCCCCAACCCACAGGGCCCACCTTCACAGCTGGTGAGTCCTGGGGAGCTCTGCTCAGAGGGAGCACAACACTCCCCCGCCCCCAGCAAGTCCTGAGAGTCTGTCAGGGGATCAAGTGACCCAGAACCTCAAGGATGGGCTTGTGTCCCAGGGGGCTGGGAGTCCCAGGGTCTGAGCTGGTGATGGGTGGGGTGGTCGGGGCAGAGAGAGATGTGGAGTTGCAGGCTTGGGAGGGGGTGCTGAGCTCTAGTGGGAGAAGGCAGCCCTCACCCCACACCTGTTATCCTCATCCCCAAGAGGCTCTAAGTAAGGCCCACAGAGGGTAGTGAGAGTCTGTGGGAGATGGTGGGTTCCTCCATGGGACAGGGGCTGAACATGGGGGTTAAGGGGTTTCAGTGTCTGGGCTTCAGTGTCTCTAAGTGAAAAGGAGGGAATTCTTGTCCAGAGCTTAGATTTTCCTGACGGTTCTGGCCCTGACCTCCCTGGGAGAGGGGCCTCACAGGGAAGCCCCCCAGGTCGTGATGTTATGGGGCCTGTCCCCTCTGTCTCAGTGACGGTGACACTGTACAGGGAGGGACAGGCAGGACAAGGGTCCGGGCACCCAGTCCTACCCCTCAGCTCAGGCTCAGCTCAGAGGAGGGAACAGGGTGGATCAGCCCTGGCTCAGCTCCAGGCTCTGCTGCTCCTGCTGTGGGGCTGGGCGGTCCCTTCTCTCCTCTGAGTGTCGGGTTCCTGTCTGCTCATCCCTGGTCCCATCCTGCTCACAGGCTACTGGGAGATGAGATGACATAAGGGCCTCACAGAGCTCAGGAAGACAGAGCCCCCAGCCCAGCCCGACCTTCCCAAGGGGCGTCAGGGCCTGCAGGGTGGAGACAATGAGGGAGAGACTCAGTCCAGCCCTCACCCTGTCCCTGCTGTGCTGGGGGCAGGTAATGAAGAAGGACCCTCAGCTCCAGAGGAGACGTGGACAGGCCCCTGCAGAGGAGGAGCCTAGAGCAGAAAGCTGATGTCCCCCTGGGGGGCAGGGTGAGGACAGGACAGGGAATTCACAGTCCTGGGTTGCAGTCCCGGCCCTGCCCCATCCAGGCTGGGTGACCTGGGGCAGGTGATGAACCTCTCTGAGCCTCAGTGAAGTGAGTGGTGGGGTCAGCATCCCTGGTGCATGAGGTGAGAGGAGATGAGTGACAGACCCCAGCAGGAGCCTCACACACAGTAGGTGCTCATGAAATGGCATCACTGGCTCATTCATGACGTCATGAGGGGGAGACAGGCTGCCAGGTCTTTCAGGTCTGATTCCTTTCCTGGAGTTGTCCCCAAACTCTCTATCTGGGCTGACCCAGGCCCCATCGTCACCAAGGGGAGTCCCATGACCATCTGGTGTCCGGGGTCTCTGCAGGCTAATGTCTACCTTCTGTATAAAGAGAGGGGCTCTGAGCCCTTGGATACCAGGATCCCACAGGACTCCAGCAACAAGGCCGGTTTCCTCACTGAATCTTGGAACTCACCCCACGTAGGACTACCAGTGAGCACATTACACCACTGGTTACATAGGCTGCTGGCGTGACAACCCCATGACAGGCAGGGCCAGCATCCAAGTGACCACCACCTGTGTGTCTGTCTTGCCACCCTGCTGGCCCCACAGTCTGCTCCATCTGCTCAGCTGTGGCCACTGGGAGAAGACGCCATGAGCCCCACCCTCAAGGCCCTGCTCTATCTTACTGAGAAGGGAGGAGGGGGAGGGGACCCCAGGAAACAGGAGGCTCATGGGGAGGAGGGATCTGCTTAGGGTTCAGGGCAAATCTCTCACAGGGACTGTCTTCCAGTGCTGAGTGTGGGCCTCAGGACCCCAGTGCAGACAGGTGAGTCTGTCCCCAGGTTCCCTGCTCTGCTGTTCTCTGGGGACATGGGCCACCCCCCAGGCAATAGGGGAAGGGGTGCAGATCTGTCTGACAGAGGGGGGCATCTGGGACTGAGACCTGGGGACCAGGGGTGGGAATGTCCTGTGACCCAGCCTCTGATTCTTTCCAGAGACCCTCCCCAAACCCACCCTCTGGGCTGAGCCAGGCCCTGTGATCCCCAGCGGGAGCCCCATGACCATCTGCTGTCAGGGAACACGAAAGGCTAAGGAGTACCTACTTTATAAAGAGGGAAGCCGAGCACCATGGAAAGAACAGAAGCCACTGGAGCCTGGGGACAAGGCCAAGTTCTTCATCACAAGCATGACAGAGCATGATGCAGGGATATATCACTGTTACTACCTCAGCCCCACTGGCTGGTCAGGGCACAGTGACTTCCTGGAGCTGGTGGTGACAGGTGAGAGGACACTCAGGGGTCCCAGCCTCAGGCTCTGCCCTCAGGAAGGGGGTTTGCTCCCAGGGTGTCCCCCTCTCACAGCCCAGCCCTGGGGGACATGAGGGAGGTGTGAGCCCATTTAACACGCTGCCTCCTCCTCTCCTAGGATCCTACAGCAAACCCAGCCTCTCAGCCCTGCCCAGCCCTGTCGTGCCCTCAGGAGGGAACGTGAACCTCCAGTGTGGCTCAGGGCAGGGATTTGACACATTCATTCTGACTAAGGAAGGAGATCACAGGCTCTCCTGGACCCAGGACTCAGAGCCACAGCCCAGTGGGCAGTCCCAGGCCCTGTTCTCTGTGGGCCCCATGACCCCCAGCGACAGGTGGACGTTCAGATGCTATGGCTATTACAGGAACAGCCCCCAGGTGTGGTCAAACCCCAGCGATGCCCTGGACCTCCTGGTCTCAGGTGAGGCCCCCTCACCCTGTCTTTCTGTTTGTCAGCTCAGGGTCCAGTCCTCAGAACAATCATGGGCTGAAAGGAGAGTGAGCTGGCTGTAGAGATGGTCACTTAGAAAGGATTTGTCCCTTAGACACAGCCTTACCCCTGTTCACCCCTCTCTCTCTTCTGTTGCCAGAAGGTGTCTCAGGTGGACAGTGAGAGGGTCTTAGTGTGGGGACCCCAGGCAGATGCAGGAGAAGTCCGAGTGAGGTGGGAACTCTAGGGTCAGCCCAGGCCTCCCACCTCTCCTGTTCTCCTTCCCAGCACCCTCTGGGACCCCAGCTCTGCACACATATGTCCTCTTTGCTCAGATGGAGACAGACCACCCCAGGATGTCTGAGTCTCTCAGAAGATCTAATGACCCCCCATAGACCTAAGGACAGGCTTGTGTCCCAGGGGGACTGGGAGTCAGGGAGAGATCTCAGGGGAACCACAGGCCTCCAGGGTCTCCGAAGATTCACCTCTTCCCCCTCACATGGAGTCAGGCCTTGTAGAGGGAAGTGAGGTAGGTGGCAGGTGGGGAGGTCATGGCTGAGGGAGTTGTTGGGGCTCAGGCTTGGGGAGGGGGAGTCAGGCTCAAGTGGGGAGAAGGCAGACCCTGCCCCTCGCCTTTTATCTAGATCCCAGAAAGCTCTGAGCAATGGTCCCTCCTTTCCCTCCCCGAATCCAGAGGGGAAGTGTGATTCTCTGTGGGGATGTGGTGGGTGCCTCCCTGTAGGGAACAGGCCTGAGTCATGAGACTGCTCTGGAACCTCTAAAGTCTCTCACTTGGACACACCCTTCCTCTGTCTGGGCCTCAGTGTCTCCAACTGTAAAAGGAGAGACTCCTTGTCCAGAGCTTAGATTTCCTGTCAGTTCTGGCCCCGACCTCCTGGGAGAG